GAATAAACAAATAGACCAATGGAACAAAACAGGGAGCCCAGAAACAGACCAGCATAAATATAGTCAACTGATCTTTGACAAAGGAGCGAAGGCAACACAATGGAGCAAAGACAGTCTTTTCAACAAATGGTGTTGGAACAACTGGGCACCCATATGCGAATGTATACAAATCTAGACACAGACCTTAAACTCTTCACAAAAATTAACTCAAAATGGATCACAGACCTAAATGTAAAATGAAAAACTATAAAACACCTGGAAGATAACATAGGAGAAAATCTAGATGACCTTGGGTTTGGCAATAACTTTTTAGATATGACACTGAAGGCAGGATTTATAAAAGATAGTACTGATAAACTGGACTTCATTAACATTGAATTTTTCTGCTCCATAAAAGACACTGTCAAGAGAATAAAAACAAAAGCCAGGCTGGGCGCGGTGGCTCACGCCTGTAATCCTACCACTCTGGGAGGCCGAGGCAGGTGGATTGCTCCAGGTCAGGAGTTCGAAACCAGCCTGAGCAAGAGCGAGACCCTGTCTCTACTATAATTACAAAGAAATTTAATTGGCCAAATAATATATACAGAAAAAATTAGCCAGGCATGGTGGCACATGCCAGTATTCCCAGCTACTTGGGAGGCTGAGGCAGAAGGATTGCTTGAGCCCAGGAGTTTGAGGCTGATGCCATAGCACTCACTCTAGCCTGGGCAACAAAGTGAGACTCTGTCTCCACAAAAAAAAAAAAAAAAAAAAAAAAAAGCCATAGGCTGGGAGAAAATATTTGCAAAAGGCATATTTGATAAAAGACTATTGCTGGGCGCAGTGGCTTATCCCTGTAATCCTGGTACTTTGGGAAGCCCGCGTGGAAGGATTGTTTAAGGCAGGGGTCCTCAAACTTTTTAAATAGGGGGCCAGTTCACTGTCCCTCAGACCGTTGGAGAGTGCAGTGCACATTCCACACATGCACACTGTGGGCCCGGGACCAGTCAGCTGCTAAGCAGGACAGGCAGCGGAAGCAAAAACACCCAGCAGGTCATAGTTTGAGGAGGCCTGGTTTAAGGCCAGGACTTTGAGACCAGCCTGAGCAATGTAGTGAGACCCCATCTCCAAAAAAAAAAAAAAAAAATTAGCTGATATGGTGGTGCACACTTGTAGTCCCAGTTTCACGGGAGGCTGAGGTAGGAGGATCTCCTGAGCCCAGAACTTTGAGGCTGCAACTGTAACTGCACCACTGCACTTCAGCCTGGGTGAAAGAGTAAGACCCTGCCTCTAATTAAAAAAAAAAAGACTGTTAACCAAAATACCAAAATATAGAAAGAATTCAACAATAAGAACACAACAAAATTTTAAAGTGGGCCTAAAACCTTAACAGACACCTCACCAAAGAAGATATGCAGCTGGCAAATAAGCTTATAAAAAGACTTTCCACATCATGTGTCATCAGGGAAACACAAATCAAAAGAACAATGAGATACCACTACATACCTATTACAGAGGTCAAAATCCAGAACACTGACAATGGCAAATGCTGACAATGATGTGGAACAATAGGATCTCTTATTCATTGCTGGCAGGAATACAAAATGGTACAGCTACTTTGGAAGGCAGTTTGGTAGTTTCTTACAAAACGAAACATACTTTTATCAATATGATCCAGCAATCACACTCCTTGTACCCTAAGGAGCTGAAAACTTATGTCCACACAAAAACCTATATATTTATAGGTTTATAGCATCTTTATTCATAATTCATAATATAATCAATAAAGATGAATATATTCATCTTTATTAATATTCATAAAAGCTTTGAAACATCCAAAATGTCCTTCTGTAGGTGAATGGATACATAAACTGTTGTACATCCAGACAGTGGAATATTGTGCTAAAAGAAAATAAGCTATTGGCTGGGCGAAGTGGCTCACGCCTGTAATCCTAGCACTCTGGAAGGCCGAGGCGGGAGGATTGCTCAAGGTCAGGGGTTCGAAACCAGCCTGAGCAAGAGTGAGACCCCGTCTCTACTAAAAATAGGAAAGAAATTAATCGGCCAACTAAAAATATATAGAAAAATTAGCCGGGCATGGTGGCATATGCCTGTAGTCCCAGCTACTCGGGAGGCTGAGGCAGGAGGATCACTTGAGCCCAGTAGTTTGAGGCTGCTGTGAGCTAGGCTGACGCTACGGCACTCTAGCCTGGGCAACAGAGAAAGACTCTGTCTCAAAAAAACCACAACAACAACAAAAAGAAAAAAACAGAAAATGAACTATCAAAGCCATGAAAAGACATAGAAGAAACTAAGGTGTATATTACTAAGTAAAGAAGTCAATCTAAAAAAGGCTACCTATTATATGACTCCAATTATATGATATTCCGGAAAAGGCAAAACTATTGAGATAGTAAAGAGATAAGTGGTTGCCAGGGGTTATGTGGGAGGGAGAGATGAACAGGCACAGCACTAGAGATTTTTAGGGCAGTGAAACTACTCTGTATGATACTAGAATGGTAGATACACGTCATTATACATTTTTCCAAACGTAGAGCACAGACTATACAACACCAGGAGCAAACCCTAAGGTGAACTGTGGACTTTGGGTGATAATGTTTCAGTGTAGAATCAGCAATTGTTAACAACTGTACCACTGTGGTGCAGAATGCTGGCAATGTGTGTGGGTGGGAGGTATATGGAAAATCAGCACCTTTTGCTCAATTTTGCTGTTAACCCAAAATTGCTCTTAAAAATAAAGTCTGTTAAAAAATAAAAAAGGAATGAAGTACTGTTTACATGCTACAGCATAGATGAACCTTGAAACATTATGCTAAATAAAAGAAGCCAGACATAAAAGGCCACAGTGTATATGATTCCACTTACATGAAATGTTCAGAACAGGTAAATCCATAGAAACAGAAAGTAGATTAGTGGCTGCCAGGAGCTAGAAGAGTAGGGAATGTGACTGCTAATGCGTAGGGGTTTGTTTGTGGAGTTATGAAAACATTCTAAAATTCATTATGCAGACAAATACACTACCACTGAGCTATGCCCCCATAAAACTGATAGTGGTAATGGTCAGACAACTCTGTGAATATACTAAAAACCATTAAACTACAGAAATTAAACTGGTGAAGTGTATAGCGAGCATTCTATATCTCAGTAAAGCTGTCTGGGAAAAAACTCAATAAGTAAAATAGGCCGGGCGAGGTGGCTCATGCCTGTAATCCTAGCACTCTGGGAGGCCAAGGCGGGCGGATTGCTCCAGGTCAGGAGTTGGAAACCAGCCTGAGCAAGAGCGAGACCCCGTCTCTACTAAAAGTAGAAAGGAATTAATTGGCCAACTAATATATATAGAAAAAATTAGCCGGGCATGGTGGCGCATGCTGGGGTAGTCCCAACTACTCGGGAGGCTGAGGCAGGAGGATCGCTTGAGCCTGGGAGTTGAGGTTGCTGTGAACTAGGCTGACCCCACAGCACTCTAGCCCGGGCAACAGAGTGAGACTCTGTCTCAAAAATAAATAAGTAAATAAATAAAATAAGATAAAATGAAACAATAAATAAATGTATCACTCGATATTCCATGATATGGACTGCAGGTCCTCATTAGCATGTAATGTAAACATGTATATTTCACTTCTGGTTAGAATCTTAGTCCTATCACTATGCTAATTAAAAAGACAGTTTTCACTTACTGAAGCCTAAACAAATCCCTAAAATGCATACATTACCAATTTCTTTGGATCTGCCCTAACATCACTGGACAGAGGAGAATTGAAGCAAACCACCAAAGCACACTCCACAGTGCTCCGGCTAATGACCATGAGCCTGCAAATCTGTGCTGTTTTGAACAAACATGCAGAAGTTGAAATGCTTGTCTGGGTCTCCTAAAGAGTGGGGGTAGGGGGAGTAGAGGGTGGAGCTGGGTCAAGGAACTTGGGAAAATGTTCTTCTAAGAGTTAAAGGTGGGCCGGGCGTGGTGGCTCACGCCTGTAATCCTAGCTCTCTGGGAGGCCGAGACCGGCGGATTGCTCAAGGTCAGGAGTTCAAAACCAGCCTGAGCAAGAGCGAGACCTCGTCTCTACTATAAATAGAAAGAAATTAATTGGCCAACTAATATATATAGAAAAAATTAGCCGGGCATGGTGGCACATGCCTGTAGTCCCAGCTACTCGGGAGACTGAGGCAGGAGGATTGCTTGAGCCCAGGAGTTTGAGGTTGCTGTGAGCTAGGCTGACGCCACGGCACTCACTCTAGCCTGGGCAACAAGTGAGACTCTGTCTCCAAAAGAGTTAAAGGTGGATTTGCTGTACCATGGGCAGGTTCTGCTGCCGGGGCATTTGGGCCAGACAGCCACCCCCTCCCAAAGCAGCCTCTCTCCTCAGCCTCGGCTGTGCTACATACATGTCTTGTCTTGCACCCAGACTGTAAGCTGCTACAGGGAGCCACCATGTCCATTTTTATTTTCTCTCTCTCTGCATTTGGCCAAGTTCAATATAACCAGCAGGTGGTTAAGAAATACAGCATATTCATGAAACAGATAACTTAGGGGGTAAAGAATGCCCCATTTTGTAAAAAGATTCACTTAAAGAGTTTCTTCAGGAACAAGATCCTCTAATAGATAGGAGAGATGAATTTAATTTAGGAAAAGATCTACTCCCAAGTAACCCTCAACTTTTCCAGGAATCAATCTACTACGTAAAGCTGAGGTAGGCTTATCAACTGTCCTTGCTGTGAACAAGTTCTAGCCTTCCCCAGTGGAGCGCTTCCAAACAGAGAACTCAGAAGCGGTTGTGCTATGAAGACCCCCTTACCCATAAGGAATCCAGACAGAGACAAGAATTCCTGTTAAAGACACCTTCTAGAAACCGAAGCCAGAGATGGCATAGCTTAAATGAAACCCTTCTTGTGCCCAAGGGTTTGGCAGTTGCCCAGAAGCCCAGGAGTAGAGAGAGATTCAGCACCAAATCAGAGAGGGTTAGAGCCCAAGCTAAGCAAGGAAGTGGCCAGGCCCTCACCTCAGGTATCAGCCGCCTCCTCTTCACGCTGGGGACAGAGTCTGGCAGGCCATCGCTGACTGGCTGCTTTCGTTTGCTAGAGTCCTGGAGGGTAGTGAAGATGCTGTCCAGAGGGTGCTTGTCAGAAGTCCTAGAATTCACTGAGCAGTCCAGGGCAGCATCTTCAGCCTCTGTCTCCACTTTCACAGTGTTATTTTTTAGAACTGTGGCAGAGAAGAAACAGGGCTCATTGGAAAAGATCAGGGCCACACAGAGATGGGCCGGGCTCTCTGGAGCTAGGGGGATTTGAGGTTGGCCCTTTGACACCGTCACTCAGATAAAGATGTCTAGTCATAACAAACTTGTTATGTTGCTTTTCAACAATGCAATTTTTTTTCTCGTTGCACTAGTATGTTATACAATAAAACCATGTTCCAAGAATATTTTGCTCAAAATTGGTTTAAAAGCTGCCTTTTTGGGGGGGAAGGAGATAGAGGGAGAGACATAAATATTATCTTTTTGTGCTTTTAAAAAGTAACTCTATAAAGCTACATTAGATGCTTATAATTATAACAGGTGTGTGGGTGGAGGCGGATGGGAACCCACAGGGCTGGGAGGAGACATTTCATTATACATCTCTTCATATTTTTAGACCATGTGAATGTATGACCTAATCAAAAACACTAAATTAAAAACATTTTTTAAAATAGACTTTTTTTTTACCTTCTTCTACATCTTCACTGAATTCAGTTGAGTTCATCTTCTATTCCACTAAATGAAAAGACAAAGAAAAGGTCTTGATTTATTGCTTGCTTTATTTCTTAATTCCCCCTACCCATGGGGAATTCCCTTACCCTCCCAACCCCAGCTCTGGGCAATAGAAGGCTAAAGGCCGTGCAGCACTGTGCACACAGGTGTCCCCTTGATCTTGTCTGCAGGCACTCAGGAGCAGACAGGCCATGGGTACGCCTTCAGGGAGCCCTTCTCCAGGACTATACGGAGCATGGTATGTCCTAAAGCATACACTGAGAGCCACTTACTGAACCAGGGGAACTTATTGGAACAAATCAAATCTTAAAAAAGATCCCAATTTTAATGATCTCCCTTTAGCCTATGCTTATAAATTCCAGCCACAACACGAAAAGGCTTAAGAAGGTTGGAGACCGTGGATCCCAACAGAGACAAGCTGCCCATGACAGTGGCCACTAGCCACGTGTGGCTACTGAGGACTCAAAATGTGGCTAGTCCAAATGAACATGTGCTGTAAGTGTAAAATAAACACCAGATTACAGACTTATCCTGGTAAAATATCTCACTAATAATTGTTGTATATTGATTACATGTTGAAATGATAATATTTTGGACTTACTGGGCTAAATAAAATATTCAACCTTATTTTATAATGTAGGAAACTGAGATTGGAAGAGTTTAAGAGTTTTATTGCCTATGTAATCAACAGTAGTATCAGAGCCAGGTTTTGGCCCCTGGTCTGTGTTGACGCTGAAAGCCTGGCTCTCTTTACAATTCCCCACCACTGTTCAGGAACGATATTCCCTTACAGCTCTGTCCCGGTGCCTTCCCTGGCCTCCACCAGGTGCAGAGGCCTGTGACATGGAGCGTTGTTGAGGTAAGATCTTCTGGTGTGGCATCAGTCAGGGAAGGCAGGATTATGCTGTGGTATTAACAACCCTGATATCTCAGTGGCTTAAAGTAGCAAAGACTTATTGCCCATCAGTTGTGTAAACCACATGTCCATTTTGGAGGTGACTCTGATTCATGATTTTCCCACTTAGGACCAGGCTGTTGGAGCTTCCATCATATGGTACATTGGGGCCCTTGTGATAGGGTGAAAGTGCCAACCAGGCACTGACTCTTTGAGCCTTCTTTTTTTTTTTTTGAGACAGACTCTTTCGCTTTGTTGCCCAGGCTAGAGTGAGTGCCGTGGCATCAGCCTAGCTCACAGCAACCTCAAACTCCTGGGCTGGAGCAATCCTCCTGCCTCAGCCTCCCGAGTAGCTGGGACTACAGGCATGCACCACCATGCCTGGCTAATTTTTTCTATTTTGGGTAGAGACCAGGTCTCGCTTTTGCTCAGGCTGGTCTTGAACTCCTGAGCTCAAACAATCCTGCCACCTCGGCCTCCCAGAGTGCTAGGATTACAGATGTGAGCCACCGCGCCCAGCCTAAAATATTCTTATTAAAATTAATTTTACCTATTTTTTTAATGTGGCTACTAGAAAATTTAAAGTTGTATATGTGAGTCAGGTGCAGTGGTGTGTGCCTGTAATAATCCCAGCTACTTAGGAGACCGAGGTGGGAGGATTACTTGAGCCCAGGAGTTCAAGACCAGCCTGGGCAACATAGCAAAACTCTGTCTCAAAAATAAATAAATAAATATATTACATATGTGCATCATATATATGTATTTTCTTTTTTTAATTCTTTGTGAGATGGGGTCTCATTCTATTACCTGGGCAGTGGCATCATCATAGCTCATTGCAACCTCAAACTCCTAGACTCAAGTGATCCTCCCAACTCAGCCTACTGAGTAGCTCGGACTACAGGAATGCACTACCACCCAGCTAATTTTTCTATTTTTTGTAGAGATGCGGTCTTTACTACGTTGACCAGGCTGGTCTCGAACTCCTGGTCTCAAGTGATCCTTCCACCTTGGCTTCCCAAAATGCTAGGATTACAGGGGTGAGCCACCACACCTGGCCTATATTATATTTTTATTGGACGGCACTGGTCTAGCCCTTCCTTCAGAAGTAACAAGGAGAAAAAGGCATTGTGGATTTTAAAATGTAGGGTCTTAGAGCTCCACACAATCTGTTCCAAACAGACCAGACAGGGACTGAGGCAGGAAGCGGTGGTGGTGCTCTGCTCCAGGCTACGGCGTCTGCAGCAGAGCGAGCTCTTCACTCCCACTGCTCCAGCTGGGGCGGAACTAACACCAAGATACATTTATTTATTTATTTTTATCTATCTATCTATCTATCTATCTATCTATCTATCTATCTATCTATCTATCTATCTTCTATCTATTTGACAGAGTCTTGCTCTGTTGCTGGGGCTAGAGTGCCGTGGCGTCAGCCTAGCTCACAGCAACCTCAAACTCCTGGACTCAAGCGATCCTCCTGCCTCAGCCTCCTGAGTAGCTGGGACTACAGGCATGCACCACCATGCCCAGCTGATTTTATATATATATAAAGCTAATTTCTTCCTATTTTTAGTAGAGGCAGGGTGTCACTCTTGTTCAGGCTGGTTTCAAACTCCTGACCTCAAGCAATCCTCCTGTCTCGGCCTCCCAGAGTGCTAGAATTACAGGCATAAGCCACCAAGGCCGACCCTGACACCAACATTAAAAGGTACCACTAAGTCTTTGAGATCTCCTAAATTCTATAACAGCATGTACATGAATAGTATAAGGTACAAGTGAGGTAGTAACATTTAGAATAAAATATATATTGCAACCTTTAATGTTAGCATTGGGAGTCAACTGATTAAGCTGACTATAGACACAGAATTCTCATTTTGTTTAAAGAGCAGAGGAGTGCAGGACTAAGGAGTATCTCTTAGATATTTCTGTAATAGAGATGCCATCTGCAATGCTCAGTAACTCATTCAAGGAGTAGCCACAGAGTGGTGTGTGGTCAACATAGAGTTCCCTGCCTGAGACGGCTGAACAGGGTGGGAGGGGCCAAGAGAAGGAGCACATCTAGGTGATCTATGAGCACCATAACTTCAAAATAAATTCACCAATAATAGCCATACTTATAAAGTGCTTACGATGGGGAGCACTATTCTTAACGCAAGAATAGTACACAATCGTGCAAGATAGGCAAAATTATTTTCAGAGGAATGAAAAAGATAGTATGATTTATTTGAAACTGAAAATAATTCCTACTCACCAATCATCTCCTACCTGGAAAACAGAACACCCCAGGTGATACTGATGGAAAACAAGTAATAAGTCAACCTCAAGGGTTAAAGAACTATTTTACTGGAGGTGAATTTTAGCAACTCCTTCCATTGTATTTCAAGGATATAAACAGAATTAGATAACTGTCACCTGAGCGGGGTGTCTCTGACTAGACAGGAGGGTTGGACACTGCCAGGCAGAAGTTCAGACCTGATTCCCAGCCCAGTCAGGGGGCCTCTCCAGGAAACACACAGGTCACCCAGATGCCCCGAGCTTGCCAAATGCCCTTGGAAACTCTGCCACATGGTCACATAACCCATTCCCTCCCGCATCAAGGGCAGGCTGAGCAGCAGCTGAGCAGCAGCAGAGCAGATGGGGAGGAACCAGGACTGTCGGAGACCCGCACATTGTACACCACAAATGACAATGTGCAGAGAAAAGGCAGGAGATGGAGAAGATATGGATGGTCTATTTGGGGGAAAACTGTCACAGCGAAAGAAAACTGCAGACTTGGGCTAAGCAGAAAGCATCAGAAGGATGAGTGAATACAGAAGGAAAGAAAACAAGAGTTGGCCGGGCGCGGTGGCTCACGCCTGTAATCCTAGCACTCTGGGAGGCCGAGGTGGGCAGATGGCTTGAGGTCAGGAGTTCGAAACCAGCCTGAGCAAGAGTGAGACCCCCGTCTCTACTATCAATAGAAAGAAATTAATTGGCCAACTAATATATATAGAAAAAATTAGCCGGGCATGGTGGCGCATGCCTGTAGTCCCAGCCACTCAGGAGGCTGAGGCAGGAGGACCGCTTGAGCCCAGGAGTTTGAGGTTGCTGTGAGCTAGGCTGCCGCCACGGCACTCACTCTAGTAGCCTGAGCAACAGAGACTCTGTCTCAAAAAAAAAAAAAAGAAAGAAAAGAAAAGAAAACAAGTTGATGAAAGAACTCAGCAGAGCCACAGGTGCTGAGTAGGGAGGGCACATTTAACTCCTGGACACTCTCTGCCAGACCAGTTTCTCCTCGGGCCACCATGTGGGAGCTGTGCTGGAGCCTGAGGGCATCCAGGCTGCTGGAATGTGGCTTGGCGAGCAGGAAGGCTGTGTTCTGAACAACCACCATGTGATGCTACAGCAGGCAATTTAGCCCTCGAATTCTGAGACCCCAGAAAATGATGAAGAGCGCCCATCTGAGCCACCTGTGGGAGGGGGGTGCAGAAAACTGGGAAGGCTCACCCCTCAGGGCACTCAGGACATCCAGGGCATCTGCTTTGGAAAAGATTTCCGGTTCATTTATAGACTAGGGACAGATGTTAGGTTAGCACAGAAGTAACCCACAACACAGGATGGTGGGCCCCTTCCCTCCAAGCCAGGGATCAGCCGCACTCACCAGGAAGCCGGGGAATTTCCTACGTGCCAGGCGCTGGGTGCCCCGGGGAGGGTGCTCTCGACACCCAGCCCATCAGCTCCTGCCAGGCCCCAATACCCAATGCATGTGGCCTCTGCCTCACCCTGGGCTATTTCAGTCCCAAATTTAGCAATAGAGAAACTCAGGGCAGGTAGCTCCTCCAGTGTCACACAGCTACCTCGGGACAGAACCAGCATTCAGACCCAGTCTGCCTGTGCCTCCCGTCAGCCAGCCGAGTGAGGAAATAACATTTTATTAAGGTCCTTTCGGTGAACATATTGACCTGCTTCTGGACTCGGGTCTGTCTGTCCAACAGCAACTAGGGAACCCAAGTCTCTTCTGCCTCCAAGTAGCTGCTTGGAAAACCCATCTGCTCCACATCAGAAACAGCCTCCACCCCACGGCACAGAGAAGTTTCACAAGACGGACATGCAGTTTCACAAGCGCAGTGTA